AACATTGATTGGTGTAAGTCGACCCCCTCTGTGACAAATTCAAGGAATGTTGCTTGTCTTTTAATTTAACCCAACTGATCGACTCCCCCACCAGATTAAATAAAAGCCACCCTGACAATTCCTCCATCTTAGACCTGTTTCTAACTAATATGCCTCACAAATTCCCTGGTACAGGTGTATTCGCTGATCTTTTGAGTGATCATTGTGTGACAGCGGCTTTAAAAAATAGTAAACTTCCACCTTCTAAGCCCAGATTAATTCAAAAAAGGGATCTGAAACATTTCTGTGAACAGTCATTCCTCTGGGATCTGTCTCACTTTGACTGGCATCGTATTCTGTTAACTGATGACGTGAACTCTGCTTGGAACTATTTCCATAATAATTTCATTTATTTCCTGAATTTACATGCTCCTTTTCGTCAGTTCAGAATAAAAGGACGAGACAGCCCCTGGTTTACTCCAGAGCTAGCTGACCTCCTGCACAGGAGAGATCATCTTTGGGCCACAGCGAGAAGATCTGGCTCAGACACTGATTGGTTGAGTTTTCGACAGATGAGGAATAAATGCACAACTGCTGTTAAAGCAACAAAACGCAACTATTTCTTATCTCAGACTTCCAAAAATCTAAATGACCCTAACAGATTCTGGAAAACCATCAAATCTCTCTCAGGCACCCCCCAATCATCTGACCTCCCATCACAACTTCTCGTCAACTCTGTTCCTGTGTCAAATAAGCACGAGATCCTGAACTGTTTCAACAAACATTTTGTTGCTTCTGGTTCTTTATTTGACACAGTTACTAACAAAATTCAGCCACTTCACTTAATAACCAAACTTCTACAAATCAAATCCCTCCTACAAGTCAATCCTCAGTTAATCACAGCTTCTCTTTTTCTCCATTCTCAGTCAGTGAGGTTAATAAACTGTTAAAAGATCTTGATCCTAAAAAATCTGCAGGTCCAGATGAACTTCCACCTTATTTCTTAAGGCTGGCTGCTCATATCATCACAGTCCCTGTGACCCACATCTTTAATCTCGCCATAAGACAAAACTCCATCCCAGACACTTGGAAAACAGCCTTTGTTCTTCCTTTGCTGAAGGGAGGAGACCCCACCTCACTGAACAACTATCGACCAATCTCTAAACTCTGCATTTTAGCCAAGGTTCTAGAAAAACTGATAAACTCTCAAATCAAAAATTACCTGGACTCATTTAACATCTTACCTCCACATCAATCTGGTTTCAGGAAACAACACAGCACAACCACTGCTTCACTGAAGGTTCTTAATGACGTTGTTGAAGCACTGGATGCTAAGGATTATTGTGCTGCACTTTTCTTAGACCTGTCTAAAGCTTTTGACACTGTGGATCAGAACATCTTGTGTCATAAACTCTCAGAAAGTGGTTTCTCAGATCACACCATTGGTTGGTTCTCTAACTATCTTTCAGACCGGAGGCAATGTGTTCAACATAATGGTACTTCCTCCAGTTATTTAACATTCAACAATGATGTACCACAAGGCTCAGTCTTAGGACCCACCCTCTTTACAATCTACATACATAATGTAGGCAAAAACATCCCTAATGCATCCATACATTTCTATGCTGACGACACAGTTGTTTATTGTCGAGCTAAAACAGTTGCTAAGGCTTTCCAGCTTTTGAAATCTGCATTTAACTACATCCAGACTGATTTGTTCCGCCTCAAACTTGTCCTAAATGCCGAAAAAACCAAAGGGATGCTTTTTTCAAATAGGAAGTTGGTCCCAGCAGTTCTTCCTCCGATTTTATCCTCAAATGGTGTCCCCATTGAGTTTGTTGATTCCTATAAATATTTGTGTATCTTGGTCGACTCACATCTTTCTTTTAAGCTCCATGTGGAAAACTTGGTAAAGAAACTGAAAGTTAAACTGGGTTTCTTTTTCAGAAACAAATCCTGTCTAACCCTGGATGCTAGAAAACGCCTTGTATCTGTGACTTTCCTTCCCTCAATTGATTTTGGTGACATTATTTACATGAACGCTCCTACAAGAACCCTGCAGATGTTGGATGCTGTCTATCATGGTGCACTAAGATTCATAACTGGCTGGGATTATCGTACCCACCACTGCACCCAGTATTCACTGGTTAACTGGACATCATTAACTTCACGCAGACTCTCTCACTGGTACATTTTCATCTTTAAATCACTTCTTGGTCTGTTGCCTTCATACATCTCCTCCTACATGTCTCTGCGTGAGTGCAGCTACGGAGTGCGCTCTCAGGACATTATTACCTGCAGTGTTCCCTCAGTGAGGACTGAACTAGGCAAAAGGGCCTTCTCCTACTCCGCTCCTGTTTCCTGGAATATCTTACAAAAAGATTTGAAGCTCTCGACCTTGACCTCTCTAAGTGTCTTTAAGAATCTGTTGGACTCCTGGCAGGGACCAATGCAGACATGTTCCTGTTTTTAGTTTTCTACATTTGTCTTGGAATCTAGCTGTTTTTTGTTTTGTTACCTTTTTCCTTTTAGCCATCCTATTTGTTAAAAAAAACAAACAAAAAAAAAAACTGTAGTATGAGTTTTTATAACTGCTTATTGTTGTTGCTGTTGTCCATTGTTGTCATCTTTCTTTGTTGAAATCAGGTCTCTCTTGTAAATGAGTCCTCGAGGCTCAATGGGATTTACCTGTCTAAATAAAGGTTGATTGAATATAGCTAGTAAACCTTTAAACGTTAGAGCACTGACAGCCCGTGTTGTATATTTTAGCTACTGTGGCTAAAGTTGCTGCAATGATCTATAACATTACCACAGCTAACAAACACATAAATACTGTTTTTATTAACATTAATTTGCACTATATCTTGTAATATAACCTCTATAAATAAAGGTTGAAGGAATGAAATTCCGTTAAGTTTCCAGACAGGTCTCCTGAGGGAGAATAAACCCAGAAGTAATGATCCACAGCATCGAGTCAAAAAGGAAGTTGTCTGACGTCATTGTGAAAAGGGTCCATTAATAAGGTGCTCAGGCCTCTACCTTCCCTTATCTCTACAGAAGGTAGATATTTTATGCATCCAAGAGACCAGTTAGGAAGACAGCAAGGCTCACGGTACTGGAGCCGGGTTTAAACTGTTTTAACATGCTGCAGATCTGTCCACAGCATGGTAAAACATGGTAAACAACATGGTAAAACATCCATGTATAAGAGAAATGGAGTAGGGGTGGTCCTGAAGGAGTTGGCAAATAATTTCAATTCAATTCAATTTGGTTTATTTTATAGTGCCAAGTCACAACAGACGTTATCGGAGGGCAATGTTCAAAAACATTCACGTACAAATGCCAATTAGTAAAGATACCTATCAAAGGATGGAAGCCAGCAGATTGCAATCATTTCATTGTATTCGTTCATTCTGAGCGAGCACAAAGGCAACAGTGGAAAGGAAAAACTCACTCATAACAAGAAGAAACCTCCAGCAGAACCAGGCTCAGGACAAGCGGCCATCTGCTTCAATTCAATTCAACCGGCTGGATTTGAGAGGACAGGAAGGAGAAACAACACCGAATGGTAGGTCCATGGCGAGCAGGTCCCTCACTAGGAGGAGAGATTAAAAAAAAATGTTAAGATAGAAATAATTACAAATACAAATTATTCATTTGTATTCATTTGTAACTATTCATCTGATGAAATTAGGTAAATTTGTCCTCCAGCAGTCTAAGACTATAGCAGCATAACTAAAGGCTCCAGTATACTGCCGCGTACGTCCGTAAACGTGTATGTACGCGTGTACCGTATGCAGAGGGTTCAGACATGATACTCCAGTGTACACTCCGAGCATGACCGACCTGGTAGCCTCAGCCTATTTTAGATCTTTTTATTAGCAACATATAAACACAGAACACCGCTGTGGCTGTGGCTGCCAGCGCTCACTTTTTTTTCTTTTTTCCGACCTGTCAATCAATCCAGTAGGCGTCTCAGCAAATGACCAATCGGCGACATCAATTTGTCCCGAAGGTAAACGCCCCATGTCTGTGAAGCTGCTCTGCAGCTGCTCGGGGTGTACGCTGGAGTATCATGTCTGAACCTTCTGCGTACCGTACACGCGTACATACGCGTGAACAGACATACGTGGCAGTATACTGGGGGCTTTAGAGATAAGTCAGAAAACCCAACCCAACACTAACTATAGAATTTATCACAAAGGAAACAGTTCAGCCTAATTCTAGAAGTAGACAATGTGTCAGCCTCATGGACATAAATTGAAAATGTGTTCCACGAGAGAGGAGCCTGATAACTGAAAGCTCTGCCTCCCATTCTGCTTCTGGAAACTCTAGGAACCACAAGTAAACCTGCAGTCTGAGAGCCAAGTGCTCTGTTAGGAAAATATGGAACAATAAAATCTGTAACATAAGATGGAGCTAGGTTGTTGAGAGATTTGTAGGTTAAAAGTAGGATTTTGAATTCTATTCTGGATTTGACAGGGAGCCAATGGAGAGAAGCTAAAACTGGAGAGATATGATCTCTCCTATCAACTCTCATTAATACTCTGGCAGTAGCATTTTGTACCAGCTGAAAAGTTGTTAAAGAAGTTTTTGGACATCCAGATAATAAACAATTACAATAGTCCAGCCTAGATGTGATAAATGCACGAACAGGTTTTCTGCATCACAAGATGTTTCTAATTTTAGAGATATTACGCAGGTGGAGGAAAGTGGTTCAGGTAACGTTTTTAAACAAAGTAAATAAATGTGTAGTAAAAAAGGTTTAAACTAAACAGTAAGAATATTTAAACCTCACATCCTAAATCTTTAGATCTGATGACAGGCATAAACAGTTTAATGAGATCCATGGAGAGTAAATCAGAAGGATAAACATTTATAACACACTCGGTTTACTTGGAGGCAAACATGATTCAAGTACTTGTCTACTGCATTCAAGTACAGTACAATTACATTTGCTCTTTTTTGTGACACACTGAGATTCTTGTTTTCAGCCTGTTTAAAGTGTTTTTCTTATTTATAAAATGACTGATGAATTTAATGTAACATGGATAACTTTTGGAGGACATGTAGAATTACAAAAATACCGATTTCTGTATTTTGTGATCATGTTTATTATATACATTTTAATTATTTGCAGTAATTTGACCATCTTTTGTCTCATCTGGATTCAGAAAAGTCTTCATGAGCCTATGTATGTTCTCATTGCAGCTTTGCTCTTTAATTCACTTCTTTTCAGCACCAACATCTACCCAAAACTGTTGATTGACTTTTTATCTGACAAGCAGATTATATCCATTTCCCTGTGTCATTTTCAGAGTTTTGTTTATTACACGCTATGTGGTTCTGAATTCTTGTTGCTGTCAGCCATGGCCTATGACAGATATGTGTCTATATGTAAACCACTGCAATATCAAACTATAATGAGCAAAACCACAGTGACTGTTCTGCTGGTTTTATCTTGGCTGCTGCCTGCCTGTCAGCTTGTGCCGTCACTGTTTATCAGCCACAGTTCAAACGTCTGTAATCTTACTTTAAATGGAATCTTCTGCAACAATGCAGTTTCACAACTTTACTGTTTAAGTTCAAAAACTTCATATATTACCTATGGTGTGTTTATTGCACTTAACACTGTTTTCTTCCCCATACTTTTTATTATTTTTACCTATACAAAAATATTAATAATAACCTTTAAGAGCTCCATAAATGTAAGAAGAAAAGCCGCCCAAACTTGTTCACCTCACCTGTTGGTTCTAATCAGCTTTTCATGTTTGTGTTCATATGATATCGTAATAGCTCGAATGAATGTTGATTTCCACAAAACAGCTCGTTTTATTATGACTTTACAAGTGGTTCTATATCACCCTCTCTTTAATCCTATTATATATGGACTAAAGATGAAAACAATCTCTCAACATCTTAAAACACTTTTTTTTCATGGAAAATTCAGAAATCATGTTTGATGTTTCATGAGAAGTTGTTTTATTTGTGTTATTTTTGCTGGGTCTGTTTTCTTTACAGTTTAATAATTTAAAAATAACTTGCCTTATTTTTTTTTCTCTTTTTTAAGAGTTCGATACAATCACTAGTACAGGAACACTGTATTTGCTTTTAGTTTTACAATGTTTGTCACTGGTTATATTGTTCTAAATGTTCTTTTTTTTAAGTACATAATATATTTTTTAAATGTTTCTTTATGCTGTTTGTTTTGTATTTTGATGCTTTTATCATTGTAGTGTGATGTGTACTTGTGCTACTGCCTCTTGGCCTGGTTGAAGAACTGGTTCTCAATTGACCTACCTGGTAAAATAAAGATTATTATTAGTAGTATTATTAGTATTAGTAATAATAAATTAATAAAATAACCTTTAATATATCAACTGTCAAATTCTGTCATATAAATCGTCATTTTCTTTTTCCCAAATATACAAAACAATATATGGTGATTTGTTTAAGATGTTTTTGGTACAAATACTAAAGTGGGTAGGAGTTACAGTGTATAAATACAGATATAATTAGTTATGGTTATTTTTCTTTTTGTTTCTTTGCTTGTCTAAGGCAGTGTGTAGTGACAGATCCTGGCAAGTGGAGGGAGCAACATGATGGGATTCATCATTCAAGGGGGCAGCCTAGATCAGTGGTTCCCAACCTATTGTCCTCACAGACAACCCTCGTTACTTCATAGCCAATCTGAGACCCCCAATCCCTCGCTACTGCCCTCTCCCAAAATATTCAATCAGATTAATCTCTTCATCAAGGTGATAAAAGAATAAAATAAATGTTATTATTATTATTATTATTATTATTATTATTATTATTAAAGGTCCTTCTCAAAAAATGAGCATATTGTGATAAAGGTCATTATTTTCCATAATGTAATGATAAAAATGAAACTTTCATATATTTCAGATTCATTGCACACCAACTGAAATATTTCAGGTCTTTAATTGTTTTAATACTGATGATTATGGCATACAGCTCATGAAAACCCAAAATGCCTGTCCCAAAAAATTAGCATATTTCATCCCACCAATGAAAGACAAGTGTTTTTAATACAAAAAACGCCAACCTTCAAATAATCATGTTCAGTTATGCACTCAATACTTGGTCGGGAATCCTTTTGCATGAATGACTGCTTCAATGCGGCGTGGCATGGAGGCAATCAGCCTGTGGCACTGCTGAGGTGTTATGGAGGCCCAGGATTCTTCGATAGCGGCCTTAAGCTCATCCAGAGTGTTGGGTCTTGCGTCTCTCAACTTTCTCTTCACAATATCCCACAGGTTCTCTGTGGGGTTCAGGTCAGGAGAGTTGGCAGGCCAATTGAGCACAGTAATACCATGGTCAGTAAACCATTTACCAGTGGTTTTGGCACTGTGAGCAGGTGCCAGGTCGTGCTGAAAAATGAAATCTTCATCTCCATAAAGCTTTTCAGCTGATGGAAGCATGAAGTGCTCCAAAATCTCCTGATAGCTAGCTGCATTGACCCTGCCCTTGATAAAACACAGTGGACCAACACCAGCAG